TAACCTCATCACAGTGATAGAATTTACAACACATGAGGAGATCACATATAATCTCATCCTAGTGGTAGAGTTCACAACACATAAGGACGTCACATCAGATAACACAATCATACAATACTAGGAATCATGACCCAGGCAAGTTGCTACACACATTTTTTGGGGGACACAATTCAATCCATGACAATGTAGAAAGGCCATGACATTACAAATTGGAAGAAAGCTTAATTAAGAAAAAAGAGTACATGATTGATCACAACATAAGTTTGAATCTTGCAGTGTTTACTATGTACAAAGCTCCTTACACATTATATTCTCAACACTGTAGGTTGGGTATGACCTAACCAATCCTCGAAACTAGAAAGACTGAAGCTGTAATTCTCAGTCAGATATTCCTGGATCCAAATCCCATCTTCATCATGACATTACCTTCAAAATGGACACATATTAACTACAAGACCATTACCGTCTCTCAGCCTAATGGTGTTCATAGTGAGTGTAAGACACTTGTAGTCTCTCAAAGGAGTGCTCAGGGTATCTTCTCGCCAGTTCAGCTCCCTCGTTTCTCCTGGCTGGGGTGCCTACAATCAAGCATCCTTTATCAGAAACTCCTAAAGAAATCAAGCTAGTTCCACTTACTCACCATTTTTGTCTCCTTCTTCAGGGGCGCTCTAGTGGTTCCTTATTAGGTGTCCATAGAATATTAGTGTGGTGATTGCAAATTCTGATTGGTAATTCATATCCTGGTTAATGTTACATTATAGATCATTCCATTTCGTCAAAACGCATTTCCTTAGTTATGAGAAGTGTGGGAACTACAGACTATAGTTTGCTCTGTCATCTTTCTTATGATAACTTAAAACATTTACGCCCTCATGGCTGACATATCCTCTTCTTATTTGCATCTTTTTACTCTTAGCAGTGCCTCATTCAACACTCTGCTGGTTGGCAACAATGATGGAGAGGGCGATGCATGTAATTTTATTGGAGCCTACTTTTTAGGTCCATTTGATAATGGAAAAAAAAAAAAAGGTAAGAAGAAAAGAAGACTTCCCAGCCCTCACCATGGTAATATTACTTACCTAAGGATAGGACCCATAGGGAAACCCTGTTCTCCAACCCTATTTTTACCACTTCTCTTGTAGTGGTGTAAATCAAAATTTCTTTTCCATTTATTACTAAATATTTTTTCTTTCTTCGTATTCACAATTCATACATCCAACAAAGGCCCAGTTACTTTTGGATAGTGGAAACCAAGAACACTTAAAAAAATATATTTAGTCTAGAAACTTAATTTTAGTAATTAAAATCAATCCTCCCACTCCCTACCCCCTATAAAATATAACATTTTATATTAAAAGTTTTATGTTATGAATTTTGACATTATAATTTCCACCATTCTCTCTCTGCTGGCAAACCAACCAAACAAACAAAAAAAAAGTAAGGCAAAACACAAAAAGAAAAACCTGCTAAAAATAAGAAAATAATAACAAACAAGCACAATAGTAATCTTTGATCAGTGTACATCCCCAGCTGGCTATTAAGAAGGTAGTGAGATAAGCGTGTATTTTACAATATGTTCTTTGGGGTCACTAGAAACAACTGATTCCACCATGTAGGCTATTAGTTGGCTTTTTATCTCATTGTTTATATTCTTATATTTTAATTTTCTTTACCAACTTGCTCACATTCTTAAAATTTATTTTTTCTGAAATTCAGTGCTCATTTCTATTCTAATACTAATGACTTCTGCTTCAACCCTTCCTGATTAAGAAACTTGTGATAATGAACATCATTATATATATGGGGGATTCTACTATCTTGAGTAGTAAATGTGAAGAACGTTTTCCTTTAAACTGGACCTGGTACTGTAGGAATGGGAGTTTACAGTTAAGATTAAATGTCTTTAATTTGAAGAAACTACAATAAAAACTTTCATTTCATAAATAATACTGTTATAACAGATTCAAAACTCCTAGGACTATACTTCTATCGTCTAGCTCTTTCATAAAGAAAGAACAGTGATAAATGGAATTATCATCTCATATTTTCAGCATATTACATTATACATCTAAAGTTACTCTGAATGTTTTGTAAACTATTACTTTGTTTTTTAAATTTAACATTTATTTAAATTGTTTAAAAGGAAATCACAATTCACTTTTAGTTGACCGTCTTCAAAATATCCTCCTCAGAGAGATTTGATTTCTTATTCAGTGAAAGTAACTGGAAAAAAAGCCAGTATTTTCCTGTTTCTGTCTTCTAAAATATCTGTGATAAAAGCAGTGCGACTGCACCCTTTGAGAAAAGAATATATGTAGAAAATTTGGTAACAAAAAATGAGGTGCAACACTGAAGGATTCTACAGGGAAAATATTAAACAATGAAGGAAGCATCAAAAGAAGATGGAAGGAATACACAGAGTCACTTTACCAAAAAGAATTAGTTGGCATTCAACCATTTGAGAAGGTAGCATATGATCAAGAACTGATGGTACTGAAGGAAGAAGTCCAAGCTGCACTGGAGGCACTGGTGAAAAACAAGGCTCCAGGAATTGATGGAATACCAACTGAGATGTTTCAATACGTGGATGCAGAGCTGGAAGTGCTCACTCATCTATGCCAAGAAGTTTGTAAGTTAGCTACCTAGACAACCGACTGCAAGAATATCCATATTTGTGCCCATTCCAAAGAAAGGTGATCCAACAGAATGTGGAAATTATCAAACAAGGTCATTGATATCAAGTTCAATTTTGGTGAAGATCATTCAAAAGCAGTTGCAACAGTGCATCGACAGCGAACTGCCAGAAATGCAAGCCAGATTCAGAAGAGTAGGTAGAATGAGGGATATCATTGCTGATGTCAGATGGATCTTGGCTGAAAGCATAGAATACCAGAAAGATGTTTACTTGTGTTTTATTGACTATGCAAAGGCATTCCACTGTGTGGATCATAACAAATTATGGATAACATTGTGAAGAATGGAAATTCCAGAGCACTTAACTATGCTCATGCAGAACCTGTGCATAGACCAACAGGAAGTCTTTTGAACAGAGCAAGGGGATACTGTGTGGTTTAAAGTCAGGAAAGGTGTGCATCAAGGTTGTATCATTTCACCAGAAGTACTCAATCTGTATGCTGATATAATCCGAGAAGCTGGAGTATATGAAGAAGAATGTGGCATCAGGATTGGAGGAAGACTCATTAACTCCCTGCTATATGCAAATAACACAACCTTGCTTGCTGAAAGTGAAGAGGACTTGAAGCACTTTACTGATGAAGATTAAAGACCACAGCCTTCAATATAGATTAGATTTCAACATAAAGAAAACAAAAATCCTCACAACTGGACCAATAAGCAACATCATGATAAATGGAGAAAAGTATGAAATTGTCAAGGATTTCATTTTACCGGATCGACAATCAACCCCCATGGAAGCAGCAGTCAAGAAATCAAACGATGCATTGTGTGGGCAAATCTGCTGCAAAAGACCTCTTTAAAGTGTTAAAAAGCAAATATGTCACTTTATGGACTCAGGCGCACTTGACCCAAGCCATGATGTTTTCAATCGCCTCGTACACATGCGAAGTCTGCACAATGTATAAGGAAAACCGAAGAAGAATTGATGTTTTTGAACGATGGTGCTGACGACATATATTGGATATACTGTAGACTGCCAGAAGAACGAGCAAATCTATCCTGGAAAAAGTACAGCCAGAATGCTCCTTAGAAGCAAGGACGGTGAGACTTCGTCTTACATACTTTGGACATGTTATCAGGAAGAATTAGTCCCTGGAGAAGGACATCATGCTTGGTAAAGTAGAGGGTCAGCAAAAAAGAAGACCCTTAAGGAGATGGATTGACACAGTGACTGCAACAATGAGCTCCAACATAACAATGATTGTGAGGATGGCACAGGACTGGGCAGTGTTTTGTTCTGCTGTACATAGTGTCCCTGTGAGTCAGAACTGACTCGATGACACCTAACAACAACTAGTGTAACAGCTTCAGAATTCCTAGGACTTTTATACTTCTATTATCTTCCTCTTTGATATGTATGCAATAAAGGAATAGTGATAAATGGAGTGGTCATTTCATATTGTCAGCATATTACATTATACAGCTGAAGTTACTCTGAATGTTTTGTAACCTGTTACTTTGTCTTTAAATTTAGCAATTTATTTAAATTCTTTAGAAGGAAGTCTCAATTCATTTTCAGTTGTTCAAGTTTGAAATATGCTCCTCAAAAAGGTTTGTTTTCTTATTCAGTGAAAGTAACTAGAAAAAAAGCCAGTCTTTCCCTGTTTCTGTCTTCTAAAATATCTGCAATAAATGCAATACAATGGTACCATCTGAGAAAAGAATACATGTAGAAAATATGATAACTTAAACTTAGGTCTTACGTGTCATTGACCTTTTTTGGCCTTCTGGAGACCTAAGGGAAGCCAAATAATTTTAATTCTTATTTATTTAAGAAACATGACCATTCAAAGAGCTGATCTAACAAAACCATTAGTATTCAATAAGTCATTTCTAGTTTTCCTCCTTCCTCCTAATGACAGGGAAATCCAGGACATTGTCCCTAAGGGGACACCCTTCTTTTTCCCTGATTCTAATAAGTATTGAAATTAAAGTCCTCTTAAAAATAAGTTGTAGTTCTAAAAGGAAAAGTATAAGACAGTGTAGATCTTACAATGAGATATTAAATTCCTTCTTAGACACAATTGATGCTATGCTAGACTGTTGCAAGATGACAGAGGAAAAACTTAGAAAGAATGGTGGATGATTCTGTGGTAACAATGGTGTAATATTTTTTGAGAAATGGCTTCAAATCACTTAGGTGTAGAGTTAAACAACACTTTAGCTTGTCTGTCTTATTGATGACTGGGAAAGGCAGTAATTGTTTATGTGCATGTAAATACTTATTTTAAAAAGTTACTGTGTAGAAATAAACAGAAATTTTGTTATTTGAGATGCACAACATACTTTATTTATGCATATGTAATATCAAACAAAAAATAGACCAAATCTAATTTATATCAAACTTATATATACCGGTACTTCTCCATCAGCTATGCTAATCTTCTTTTAATTTGGGCCTAAGCGTGGATGATGTTAGAACGTGAGGAAAATGCAAGGGAATAAGGTACAGAAACCCTGAGTCGGGTATTTTTCAAAAAGTAGACTAACGATCTGCATCAGAAACACCTGGGGTGCCCATACAACTGCAGGACAGGTACTTTTGATTCACTAGCTCTGATTTAGGGTACATTTGTAAAAGGCATCCCAGTCAATTTGCTATAATATTTTGGCAAATTATAAACTCACACAGCTCTTCATTAGATAACCTCTGAAAATATTTGTATACAGGTGAGCATTTGCTGAGCAGTGTTTTGGAGTGAGAGAGCAGTGAAGGAATCAAGTGGCTTGAAAATAAAATTTTTTTAGTTTAAATATATTAAATAAAAAGCCCCAAGAAAAAGCTTGATATAGTTCTTCAAAGGGTGAAGAAAATCTAGAGAATCACAGTAGCCAGCCTGTCTGAGAAATTAGAAATGAAAACACAAGAAGGTGGGTCTGTTACCGTTACCATCAAGTCGATTTTGAGAGTAGTACTGTCCCATAGGGTTTCCAAGGCTGTAAGTCTTTATGGAAGCAGACTATCACATCTTTCTCCCTCAGAGCAGCCGGTGAGTTCAAACTAGAACCTTCCAGTTTGTAGTTGAGTGCTTAACCACTGCACCACCAGGTCTCCTTCAGAAGATATGTAGACCCGCAGGTATGCCAGGGTCAAAGGGGGCTTCTACCATTTCTCTACACCAGCTCCAAAGGCCTGAAGATTTCATCTTCAATCTCCATGTTTGGATGTCCCATCTTCAGGAGCGAGTGCTCTTCCTTCATAAGAATGATCAGATTTAGTAGCTTCAGGGGTAGTTATCGTTTCAGTGTCTGCCTGTGATCTATGAAGGAGAAAGTGCTTTGATTAAAGAACTCGTTGAAGATTAGAACATGAAACCCAGATGGCTGGGCTTTTTCTCTATTCTTTTCTCATAAAATATTTACCCATGATGGTCTGCTTATTGTAGTTTTAAACATTCAAATCTAACACCTTATAGAAAACTATACTTTACGTTGCTTGCTATCTCTAGGAGATCAAACTCTAAGACTTAAGCTCTGTTATATATAAGTTCTTACAAATTTTAATATGCTATTCCATGCCTTTCTTAGTAAGCAATTTTTCTAGCACCATTGCACAGCTATAACTCAAAAATGGATCCTATAGGACATGTATCTTTTATGCAATATGATAGTTATGAACTTTAGTGTCTCCTTCTACCAGGTCCCTGTTGACATTCAAATGAATAGTAAGTTCTATGTGATAATAGAACATATGGTAATGAAACAAACTCAAGATAATGCAACTTTCAGAGGAAGATCGGGGATCTTACTGATGCCATGCAGTCTTCCAATTAGGCAAGAGTGAAATTCTCATTGAACTTGTAGCGCTGAGCTATTTGGTGCCCCTTAAACCATTTCTTGCAATAGTTGCTGAGGTTATTCTTTTAGTGGCTATTATTCTGCTTTTTGAAACGTATATCCAAAAGACTAAGAATCACCCAGGTAGGAATTCTTTTGTTTGTTTCTGTAAAGCTATCATATTATGAGTTAATATATTACAGTGGCCTTGGAGTTTTGGGGAAAAATCCAGTTTTTCTTATTTAGACTGGTATTTATGTTAGCAGCAATGGAGACGGTGGGCTGTGAACTTGTATCTGTGTACTTCCTAAAAAGGTTAGTATTAAAAATACCTTTCTTGTCTTTTCTTTGGTACTACTAGTGCCTGAGCACCAGCTGGGTGATACGTGTTTTGGTGCTGGAATATTAGAAAATTCTGGCAGAATTTAACATAAAACATTGCAAGACAAACAACTATTCTTTCACTTAGATAATTCATTTTTTATGCAAGTTTCATCAAACATTCTGGAGTTCTCATACAAGAGACATTCTTCTGTCAGTTTCCTATTTTGTACTCTGTGCCTGTTAGGTTATGAGTTGAGAAACCAAAGGTCCACTAGGAAAATTAATCTAACATTCTGTACTTTTTAAACCAAAATTTCATAAACTTAATTGAAAATTCATCATTTCTATTTTTTCAAATCCCAGGGTACTAAATTATGCTTGGTTGAAAACACGGGGGAGCTTGAGGAAGGCATGATAGAAGTGCTGCCATCTAACGTAGCACGTTCTCCTTCATTCCAAAGAGAGAAAACAGCACAGCGAAGTCTTCACTCAGGGGAAAGTGAAGTGAATATACATGTTCCATAAAAATAGTAAACCAACCTTAATATTTAAACTCTTCTTCTGTTACATAGGTGATGGAAAAGCATTTGAACGAATTGAACAGCTGTTAAGTATTATTGTTTACAGATTAATTTTCAGTTGAATAAAATATAGATAAATATAATATTAAATAAAATAATTGCAGTTGAGAAAAAAGCACAAGGGTATGTTATATATGCCTTATTTTCTGTATCCTGTGCTGTGGTGAGAGTGACTTCTGGAGTTAGGCTGCCTGTATTAGAATCGCTCTCCACTCTTTATTACCTTTACCCCTCTGTGCTCCTGTTTTCTTCTCCTGAGAATCGGTTTGGTAATAATAGTCCTTAGCATGTAAGGCTGTTGAATTACATGATATTGTATATGTAAAAATGCTTAGCAGAGGCCTTGATGCACAGGTGTTCAATAATTTGTTTAATGCTGCATTTCTCAGCCCTGGCTGTATTTTTATCACTTAAGAAGTTTTTTAAAAATCCACTTGCTCAGACTTTAAAGAATTAACTGGGTCAGAACTTTTGGGAATGAGGCCCGATCATCTGTATTTCTTTAAAAATGTCTACCAGTGATTCTAATTTTTTGTCATGTTGAAAACCACTGGCCTAGAGTCTTGTTAGTCTTTTTTTTTTTCTTCTGATAAAACACAACTCGTGGCATTAGTTCTCTTATAGCTCTCTTTGTTTGGAGTTGAGCATGAGGAGGGCTGAGAATAAAGTTACCAGGGAGGTAATTGGGTTTGGCAAAAGCTGGAAGTTCTCAGTTCTTCCAAACCAGAGAACTGAGTGTGGAGGCCGTATTGGAGGTGCCCAAGACTGGCATTATAGTCTAAGTAACAAAGTCAAGGACTAGAAACCAGGAAAATGAGACCAGACTAAAGCAGCCAAAAGAAACCTGGGAAACGAGAGGCCTGATCAACTGTACCAACACAAATGACGCTTGATGTTCATTGTTATTGGCCAGCAGAGGCTCTGCGATGTGCGGGCTGTAACTACAGTTAACAAGCAGGAGTGGGGCAAACGGCTGTCATAGAGATATTCATAGATATTATTCAAATAGTTATTTTTTTCTCAATTCACATAGAACAGGTTAAAATAAATCAACCAAATTTGAGTTTCTAGGTTAAGGGCACACAATGATTATATCAGGAGTTCCACACAGAGGGGAAATGGAATGTTGTTTTAGCATCATAGACTCTCACAGTGGGAAGGGACTTGAATCCGTCTCAAGGCAGCCCATTCTCTTTCTGAAGAACTTGAATATATGGCTAGTATTTAACTCCTTTTCATTCCCATTTATTGGTCTACTTTCTTGCACTTAGAGTCATATAAAACACAGGACAGCCATTCAGATATTTGAAGACAGTTATAACCTTACACAGATTCTTCTATTCTCCCAGCTCAACCTCCCCAGTGTCTCCAACTATTCCCCTGAGTTTGCATTTGGAAGTTGCTCTGCTCTTAGTGCCTTATGGTTTGCATAAGACTCTCTTTGAAAAGATAGTGCCAGATCACTGTCAAGTGGACTGTTGGCTCTAAATAATTTAATTTTTATTTGTGCAACTTGCCTTATTCTTTAATATCTTTTCCAGATTATTTTATGAGCATTGTCAAGCAGATTTAATCTATAGTATAAAGAATTAACTTTTTTTTTTAATTTGGGATGTTACACATTCTTTCTCCATCCTATACTTTTACACAGAGATCACTGACAGTGCTTCAGTTTTTTCATGTTTGGGTTATTTTAATATCCTTAGGTTTAATTCAAGTGTAAAGGTCACTTGAACTCATTTAGTGCAACCCTTTACCAATTCTTATTTTGGAATATGTAGTTAGGAAGTAACTTTTTATTGGAAGAGAATAAATGTTATCATTGTGTTTTATATACAATGTTTATGTATCAATTTAGATACTAGTGATTTGTAGAGTTTCTTGGTGAAAATTATTTTTTAAAATAGTACTAAATGTACCACATAAAAACAAGTTAGTCACTTCAAATAATTCAATAAGGTGCTCACTCATTTATCTGATTCACTCCTATATATAATCCACGTAACACCCCACTCCCCCAGTTTTGACATGATTGAGTGGCTGAAGTTTTTTTTAACCTAGTGATAATTTAATTAGTTCAAGCATGTTCATAAGACTTAGAAAAACACTCATTACATCCCCTTGTTACTTAGTTTAGGCACTCTTCTTTTGGGAATCTGAAGTTCCTCATTTGTAGTCTTGTTCTGATGCATGCTGGATGGATAAAGAACCATGTTTCCCCTCTAATTCAATATAATAAACGTTAACTTATAATGCCTGTAACCCACATGTTGGTTGATCTCCTAATTGCCTATTGCCATGCACATTTCAAAACAATGCATAAGTTATGGCCATGTATTCAAGCCCGCATTCATGCTTCTTGTTGTTGCAATTTCAATCCATAGTGACTCCGTGTGACAGAGTATAACTGTCCCATAGGCTTTTGTAGGCTGTAATCTTTACTGGAGCCAATCACCAGGTCATTTTCCCTTAAGAAATCGAGTGAGAAGAAATTCTCCTTCTGCATAAAATAAACAGGGTCTTTGTCATCATCATCTGTGGCAACATTTCCTCTCCAATATGAATTAAAATAAATAAATAAAAATAAAATCAACATTAAGACTAAAACATTTTTAGGAAGAGTGAATTCTGCTGGCATTGACTTTTTACATTTAAATCTGATCACCATGATATAAATTGGTATACTGAATTCATTTTATGTACTGGAAAATATTTAGTGATTTTCCTTTTTGTTTTCTATACAGGAAATCAGATGATAGCAGTAATGGTATAGAAAATAATGCCCCCTTGGTTTACATGCAAAAAGAAACAATCTTTGATGGTTACGAGTAGGGGGAGGGGTGGGGATGAAAAACTCTAAACAGACAATTGATAAGTGGTAACTTTGGCTAAGGGTAAGACAGTACACAATATTGGGGAAGCCAGCACAACTTGTCCAAGGCAAGGTCATGGAAACTCCATAGATGCATCAAACTCTCTGAGGGACTGAATTACTGGGCTAAGGGCTGTGGGGACTGCGGTCTTGGGTAACATCTAGCTCAACTGGCATATTTTATAAAGAAAATGTTCTACATTCTACTTTGGTGAGTAGCGTCTGGGGCCTTAAAAGCTTGAGTGGCTGTCTAAGATACTCCACTGGTCTCACCCTGTCAGGAGCAAGGGAGAATAAAGCAAACCAAACACACAGGTAAAGATTAGTCCAAAGGACTAAAGGACCACAACTACCACAGCCTCCATCAGACTGAGTCCAGCACAACTAGACGGTGCCTGGCTGCCACCAATGATTGCTCTGACAGGGATCACAAGAGTGGGTCCTGGACAGAGCTAGAGAAAAATATAGAACAAAATTCTAACTCACAAAAGAAGACCAAACTTACTGGTCTGACAGAGACTGGAGAAACCCCAAGAGTATGGCCCCTGGACACCGCTTTTAGCTCAGTAATGAAATCACTCCTGAGGTTCACCCTTCAGCCAAAGATTAAACAAGTCCATAAAACAAAATGACACTAAATGGGCACACCAACCCAGGGACAAGGACTAGAAGGCAGGAGGGGACAGGAAAGCTGGTGATTGGGAACACAAGGTCAAGGAGGGAGTGTTGACATGTCATGGGGTTGGTAACCAATGTCACAAAACAGTATGTGTACTAATTGTTTAATGAGAAGCTAGTTTGTTCTGTAAACCTTCATCTAAACTACAATAATAAAAAAGGATAATAATAACTATAAGAAAATGAGAAAAACAGAGAATTTAACCAACTTGAATCTCAAAAAAAACAAAAAAGAAGAAGAAGAAAGAAAATAATGCCCTCAAGCACAGAAAAAATCCAGTTACCTCCAAATGCTACTCCAAATAAAAGGTAAAATATAGTATACACAAGCTATCTATGTATTAATCCAGTTGCTTTTTTTAGTTTCATGACTAGGTCTAGAAGACCCAGTCACTCGCTATGTGCTTAAATATCTTTGTATCTAATTAGCAATCAATTTAAACGTAAATCTCATTTCAATATCTATATATATTCTTTCTTTTATCACCATGGGCTAGTTTCTTTTACACCTTTTCATATAGCCATATTTTTTCCCCTCAACTTTCCTCGATCTCTTTGTTAATTTAATCTCATATATTCAGTGCTGTAAACTAGGCCATATTAGTCTTTTCTTTATTGTTTAGATTCCAAATTTTCATAGTTTTATCAACATTGTTTTTTGAGTATGTAGAGGAGGAGCTCTTTATTTCAGTAGTAGCTGGATCCCCCTCGCAGCACTGTTTGCTTTGATAAAGTGATAATAAGTATTGGAGAAGAACCAGGACGTACTGTGTTTCATTATGCTTCATTTAACTCAGTAATCTGTGAGCCAGTGAATGAGAGGCATCATGTCAAGTGCCATGGGAAGACTCATCAAGAGTTTGTATTTCAGCTTTGTTTATGCCTCCTCTTGGGAGCATCTGAGTTTTCATTTTCAAAGGATGAAAAAGCTCAACATGCTCAGCAGTAGCTTCATAAAACATATATGCTATCTCAGAAATAAAGATCTATTTTCATTCTGTACTTATTTTACATTAATGCAAGGTAAATCATATTAAATATGTTTTATGAGCTATAACATAGGATAGGGGATTTAATGCTGGTCCTCAAGGGACAAATGGAACAGACACCATGAAAACCAGTTAATAGTTCATAGAGCAAATGTCACTCAAGGCTGAGTTATAACCGAAGACATCATTGAAGAGAAAGCCTTTGCTGTTTGTCTTAAAAAAAGTATCCTTCCCCCCAAAAATAATGCTTACTATGTATCAAATTATTTGTAGCAATTTCTATATAAAGCTCACCATTCAGTGATATTGAAAAATAGTATCTTAACTAGGAAATGAATACTTTCAGGCTTTGCTGATGATGGTTACTTTACAATCTCCACAAGAAAAACATGCTCTTCATCCATAAAAATTGGTTTAAGGCAAGTAAATAAAACAGTTTCCCCAAAGCTCTGCTACCACAAAAGCAAATTTTCCAGTATTTATTCCATTCATCTCTACTTCTCTGCTGCTTCCCCATACCAGGCAAAAGTGCTGCTTAGTCTTCACAGTGTAGAGCTTTTTGTAATTTTTAAAGCCATGTGTTTTAGACTTCTTAGGGTATACCTAGTGTTAATGTTTCAGGGTTCAGGTCCATATAATCATAATGCAATACTGCCACAGAGATACTTCTTTGGTTCCTGTTTGCTTGTATCTTTGATTCACTGTTCAAAGTCAAGTTTTTCCACACTGGCTTCATTTAATCCACATATTTTCAAGTTCAATGTTGGCCAGTTTGTGGAAACTAATTCCATGACTAAATAAATATCAAAAAATGCATTACTAGTGCTTTTAAATACTCATTCCTTTGACTGAAATCCAGAGTAAGCCTGAATACTAATGTACTACTTACACTTTTTTGTGAATGCTTAAATTCTTAAAAATAAGATATTTAGTTTCTATTGCATATGTAACTGAAATATTTTATAAAATAACAAATGAAATCTGAATAGACACAAGAGTCATCAGTGACTTGGAAGTAAATATGAAAGTCACCCACAGGATACTAGATTACATGGGAGATGACAAGGTAAAACCTTGATGGTGGTGGGTCCAACGTCCCATTACTCAGAGGGCCGCAGGGTTCAGGGCAAGGTCAGAAACCAGGAGGGAAGAGCGTGGGATGGGACAAGGAACCTATGGTTCTTGGTGGCTAACGGATTAAAGATTGGGAAAGAGGAGTTCAATGATTTGAAAAAAATATTATAGGAATTTACATGATGTATGGACTGTGAAAATTATAATAAAATTCTGGTTGTGAAAATTATATAATATCTTAACCAGTGTTTAAAAATCTTTCAAGTATGAATAATCAATCCCCAATACACATAATGTAGTAACTTTCAAGTTGCTCATTATTTTATTGAGGCAGTATTTTGTTGTAAAGAATGTTATCTACACATGCATGTTTTGTTGAATACATAGCATTTTGTTGAATACATCCCTTAAGTAATAGCAGACTTCATTTTATTCTTGGCCTCAGAGCCATAAGCCATGCATTTCTTTTGGTTTAATTCATTAACACTATTAATTTGATAAAAATTATCTTGGGTGATATCTCTCTGATGGCATACAACCAATCAGTTAGCTTAATTACTCTAAACAATTTGAATTCAGTGAAAAATTAGTGAAATCTGCTATTTGACTAAGTTCAGAAGAGTATATTGGGTTGTATGTACAAAACCAAAAACAATTTGAAGCTCATTTGAAGTATGCATCCTTCTATTTTGCCACCATTAACTATTTAGGCTAACACAACTTTCAAGCAAGAAAAAATGCTGCCCCAAGGTAGAATAATCTGAAATATTTATACAGTAAATTGGATTTTAAAATGGCAATGTTTGCTATTTATTTTCTTAGGAAAAACAATTTACTTCAGTAAATTTAAGCATAAAAAATGTCCAGATAATTAAAGTTGAATTTTCCCTTTTCAGAGTCTCTCTGGGGGACTTCTGGAAAGTTACTTCACTGCTGCTAATGTAAAAATGGAATGTTTCCCTTAGTTATCCTTATGGGGATGATAAATGGATTAACTAGTAACGATGACCAATTGTAAATTGACTGGAAACACTAAGCAAGCAGAAAAGCTGAAGTGGGAAAGCGACTCCAAGTTTATATATTAGATACCTCCAGAAACTCTATTAATCTTTCCAGCTAACAGGGTTGTTCACTGTAATAAGTAGATTTAATGATGGCGTAAAATCGCCAGATACTTTCATATTCAGTTTATACTCAAATGTAAATCTTCTCCCCTTGCAGTGTTTTCTGTTTTTTTCCTCCAGCATCTAGTTACTCAGGCCAAAACCTAGGACTCACTATAATTTTTCTTCTCCTTTATTAACTAGTAATGGTCACGAATGAATGCTTGTTCTTTTGACCTTCTCAGTAGCTCATTAATCTACCGCATTGCCTCCCCCACCCAACCCTCACCAGCTGCAGCAGCTAAGGTCTTGATTTTCTGGCCTCATTCTCATCTTCTGTCAACCAATTCTTCACACTGCTGTTCGAGCCACCTATCTAAGACACAAATCTCAGTATATAACTTACTGTGGCAGGTTCCATGCCAAACCTTTGCAGGCTCACTTTTGCCATTTCTTAATATTGCATTCCTCCCAATTGCTAATCTCTCACCAGTGTCTCCAGCCTAGACGTATATACACATTCTTCCCAGAATCCTTTTCTCCTGTGCACTCTCTGCCCCAACTTGACTAACTCAAGTTTAGTCTTCATGACTTTACTCAAATGTGATTTCCTGGAGGATCCCTTGCGTCCTGTAGGGTATGTATCTTCCTAGGTGCTCTGATCACGTTGTATTTCTTTGTGTGTATTACCCTGTATTATAAATAAATAATAACACATTCTGCCTGGATTCTCTTTCTGGATTCTGTCTTTTATTTCTATGTTCTGTACCTACCACAGTGAGTGGCACATTAGAGACATCAACAAATGTGTGTTGGGTGAATGAATGTATAAATAAAAATCAGCAAATTTCATGCATTTGTACTTATTTTTAGACGAACTATCTATATTTTGACAAATCAGAATTAAAAAAAAATTATCCGGGAAAAGCAAGTTTTTGTAACTTCAATGTTTGTTTCTATTATTTAAAAAAAACACGTAATAATAGACTAAAAGGTCCTGTTACATTTTTTAAAATGATGTATTAATAATAATGTATATTAATTAATGTATTAGTGAGCAAAAGAAGTTCTAATTACCTAAACTATTGTACAGATTATTTCTCTTTCAACTTATCTAAATTCCTAATTGGCCTCTGTCTCTTGTAGACAGTACAAAGGTAAACCTTATTTTTATCCTTTGTCTTAATAAGAGAAAATATTGGTTTTTAAAGAATTTTAAAAGTTGTATTCTTTTGAAAGTTACCATAAAGAGTGTTGATATTTGTGCCTGCTCTAATAACCACCTCATTCCTTCCTCCCTCTGTGACCTAAACAATACCTTGGAATATATTAGAATCCAGTTCAAAATTTTTATTTTAAAGAAACAAATATTTTTAAAAAACATTCATTATTTAGTTTTGATCACTAAAATCTTGTCTTTAATCAAACTCATCACAAGGGAAAAAAAGGTCCTTTCCACTTGCTTGTTCCCTGGGTCTTCATGTTTGTGGCACTTAAATACATGTATATAAAATAATCTACTAAATGAAGATTTACTGTATTTCCTTATCAGAAAATGAATCATCTCTAGTTGAATAAATCTATATAAAAAATCAGTCTTTATCCCCATTGGTGTTATTTATCTTTGAGTGGGAATAAGTTCAAGTACGTGTGGGCACTGGTGGCTCAGTGGTTAAGAGATTGGCTGCTAACCAAAAGGTTGGCAGTTTGAATATACCAGCCACTCCTTGGAAACCCTATTGGGTAGTTCTACTCTGTCCTACAGGGTCGCTATGAATCGGGATCGACTCGATGGCAATGAGTTTGGTTTTTTATTTATTTGTGCCAGTATTACTTAAAAGGCACTGTGACTTGTTTGTAGCATGGTCTGAATAAATATTTATTGAATGAATAAATAGAGAATTGATTGGGAATCTTAAATTATACATACTTATATAATGTCTGCTTTGGTTTTGATTAGTTAGCTGTGAATTTATCCAGTCGTGGGAACAGACTGCCTATGTGCACTTCCTTCATATGACACTGAGGAATGTGTTTGCACTGTATCTAGAAGGTTAGTTACATGCTTTGATAAATGAGTTCTTTATTGAGTGCTTAGCATGTGACAGGTACTGTGCTAAATGCTTTGACGTGAATTATC